GTAGTAGTAGTAGTAGTAGTAGTAGTAGTAGTAGTAGTAGTAGTAGTAGTAGTAGTAGTAGTAGTAGTAGTAGTAGTAGTGCTATTTACTATTATTATTATTATTATTATTATTATTATTATTACTATTATTTGTCTGTCTCACCAATAAGTCTGACCTATCTACCGTCGATGATATTAGAGTTGCTGATTGCAGGGGTATTCATCAACTCGAACACTGGTATTCTGGATCATTAGATCGGCCTGTTTTATGGTATCAGGCATGGCTTTCTTGTTGGTGTCTGGCAGAGTCATAAACATTATTCCACAGATCAAGGTATTGATTGCCATAATACCAAAAGGCATCAATGGATGGACTCTTTGCTGTGGAGGGATCAAATGAATATCGTATGAGATTCATGCGCAGTATTCCGCAGATCAAGGTATTGATTCCCATGATACCAAAAGGCTTTTTTAGTTTTTGTTTTTATTTTTATTTTTTATTTCGATACTTAGGATCATGGGTTGTTATACTTAACGCCTAGACACACGCCCAAATCTCAAACGCCTAAATCTCAAAATGTACTTTGAAGTTTTTAGTGTTTATTTATTAGCAACAAAAATTGAATTTCGTAGCAAGCATGCAATGATTCTTTTTATGCCATTCTAAAAAATACTCGGCCCCTGAAATTATGTAGAAGGACTTAAGACTATATAATTTACCTAGAATAAGCTATGCCCGTTTCGAAAGGGCAATATCTCCATAGCTCCCTATGAACGATTTTTAAAGCCGTATGCCCAAAATATGTTATTTAAATGTCTATTAACAAGAAAGGTGACTTTTTGTATTCTTTAACGCATGTTTTTTGGACACAACCTGCTGGTAACGAGCTTTGAAGAAAAATATATGGAATTTCAAAAGGCAGTTTCCTTGAAAAACAACATGTACAGTGCTCGATATCGTCTTTATGAAACCTTCTATTTTGGGGTTGATTTTTGATGTTCTTCTTCTTTAAATTAGACATCGAAGCTCGACGTCAATTCGAAACTATAYACGACATTCCACTATCTTTCTAATTTTCAGGTCCTAAAACCATACCCTTTCCCCAAGGTATCAGTGGAATAACTCCTAAAACATATTCTACAACTTCTAAAATTTGTGTTGATTGATAAATCAAGACATAATTAATTGTCTTAATAAGAATAATTTGATCTTTTTATCCGTCATAGTACCCGTCTTCTAACTCGGCACCGTTTTGAAAATCAGATACTGGAACGTAAAGTCTCGAATGGAAACAACACTGTTCCAGCCAAAATAATTTGCCGAGAGACGCCCCCCCCCCCCCCCCCCCCCCCCTGCCTTGCCATATTCGTAGCTAAATGAAATCAACCATCGGATATCACTCATTAGCATTAGATTTCAGGTACTCCGGTTTTCATTCATTTAGACAATTTCTCACTCGTTGCAGGGCATTCCATGTGCTATCATAGTTAACATTATTGTGCATTTGACAAAACGGTTAATATAAACTTACCGAGTAGACGACGTATGAGGAGCAGGCAGAACCGATGTTAGATGCAGCCTCCAAAAATCCCATGGCAGTATTTCTATTGAAAACAATATCATTCGAGAATTTATTAATACCTGGGTTTGCAGGTATAACAATTGTCAATTCTAGTTTCTCCTAAGCTCTCGGGTGATCAACAATCATTAGGAGTAATAATTAACAAGATCATGGGCGGATTTACGGGGCCTGCGCCCATAAATCATGAACCTCGAGGTATAAATAACTCAATGTTCAACCTTTTCTATATCTATAACCTATTCTACTTCCTTATATCTATGGAAGTCAAGTAAGATCCATTGTTTGAGTCGGAAGCTCTCGGAAAACCGACTTATCGCACTAATTCTTGCTTCCCTGTTCGTGCGATGTTTTTCTCTCGTGAAATTGAACATGCAATTCCCTTGTCAGGTATTTATTGTTCTATGCTATTCTACTACGACATACCTGATAACTGTTGGAAAAAATTCCGAAGAATGAACACAAACACTATTGAAAGAAAGGGTGATAAACAACTTGCCCAAAACAATAGCCGACAAGATTTTACCAGCAAGGAAGCCTGTAGGGAAACATCGGGAAAAAATGCGTTAAATGCGTGGCAAGCGGTTGGGTGAATTTTTCAAGAGAAAAAGATCAAACTTTTTCCATACATTTGTGAACATTTGCTCTTTTTAGCGCCTACGCCTATGCGCACACATTTTAATGTACTGCGCATGCGAATAAGTCCCATATATAGAATTTTAAAATGGCGGACAATTATGAAGGTCTTCTTTGTTTGTCGATAGGACTGCGCGATAGGAGATGAAGGAGGCTGCTTTGTCTTGAACGCTGGAAAAGCATACGATAGTTGATTTTAAAAAACCGAATTCTTCAACATTTATAGAGTTCTAAAGGGCAAATATTCGTTGTAATATGCTCTCCTTTTTACATTTCATTCAGCATTAAAATGATTTAAGCTTATTTATAAAAATATCAAAAATTTTGTTAAAAAGTCTTTGATTTGTCGATTCGTCGAAAGAAACTTCTCGTAAAAAAACGCGATTGCTAAAAAACACACTTGAATTCTTGAAGAATATTTCTTGGTCCATAATTGACTACCTGGAAATTTTTTAAAATCTGTTGATGGTCTATAATTTGTCCCAAAGCAATGTTTTATGTCCATTTCCGAGTATCAAATTACAAAACATTCACTGCACTTCATTGCAATATTAGAAGTTTGGCTGCCAATTGTGATAATCTTGTACAAATGCTTTTTGATTTAAAATTCTCATTTTCTCTAATTGGTCTTTCTGAAACTAAATTAAAATTTGATAAGGATCCTCTGTCTAATACTGATATAGACGGATATGAATTTGTTTCCCAACCAAGTCATTTGAATGCTGGTGGTGTAGCTTTCTATATAAAAGATGGACTAGATTTTAGTATCCGTTCAGAAATATCCCTATCAGAGCCTGAGTTTGAAGCTCTCTGGATTGAAATTCACTCTAAGAATCAATCAAATCTATTGTGTGGAATTATATATAGACATCCAAACAACAATACTGATAAATGTTTGGACTATTTGAATTCCACAGTTGAAAAGATACACCAAGAGAATAAACTTTGCCTAATAATGGGAGACTTTAATATTGATTTATTGAAAATAGACTTACATGTAGATTCAGAGAATTTCATTAATACACTTGGCTCTTTCTTCTTCCAGCCACAAATTTTGCAACCGACAAGAATCACTAGCCACTCTGCAACACTTATTGACAATATTTTCTTCAATTCCATASAACATAATATCATAAGTGGCAATATAGTATATGATCTCACAGATCATTTACCTAATTTTATTATTTTTGACAAGCCTGTGCATTTAAAATCTAGGATCTAGGGGAAATGTTCATAAAAGAAATTATTCTAAACTAAACAAGTCTGCATTGATCGATGAAATTTCATCAATAAATTGGCTGTCAGCATTTCCTCCCGAGCTTGATCCATCTGAAATGTTCAGTTGTTTTCACAATAGAGTATCTGAAATAGTTGATAGGCATGTACCAATAAGACAACTGTCCAGGAAAGAAATAAAATTCAATTCAAAGGCAACAGGTCCTTTCAGCATACCAACCAGGTTACTAAAGTTACTTTAAAATGTTTTGGCAAAGCCTCTTGAGATCTTGTTTAATGCATCGTTTTCAGCTGGTATAGTATCAGACTTTCTTAAGTCAGCTAGTGTTATACCAGTTCATAAGAAAGGCTCACACCTTTCCCTCAACAATTATCGACCAATATCATTACTTTCTGTATTCAATCGACTYCTGGAAAAACTTATGTACAACAGGTTATTAAAATTCTTAGACAAAAATGAAATTCTTTCCAGCAAACAGTTTGGATTCCGTGCAAAGCATTCAACTGATCATGCTATTCTTAGCATTGTTGATAAAATTCAAAAAGMAGTTGATGAGCATGACWTTTCCTGTGGAATCTTTCTGGATTTTAGTAAAGCCTTTGATACGGTTGACCACAGAATTTTAATTAGCAAATTAGAACGCTATGGTGTAAGAGGAGTGGCTAAAAGCTGGTTCACATCTTATCTTAGTAATCGTAATCAAACTACTGTTGTTAATGATGTTACTTCAAACCCACTGGATATAACATGTGGAGTGCCTCAAGGATCTGTCCTTGGTCCTTCGCTTTTCCTACTCTATGTAAAKGATTTTCACCTTTGCTCCAATCTCTTTGAATTCCATCTGTTTGCTGATGATGCTAACCTTTTTTATAGACATAGAGACATCAAAACATTAGAATCTCATATTAACTCAGAAATTAGTAATGTTCACATTTGGCTCTGTGCCAATAAATTATCACTCAACATAGAAAAATCCAACTTTGTTCTTTTCCATGCACCCCAAAGAAAAATCACACACCATTTCCATCTAACCATTAATAACAATACTATTAAACAAAGAAATTGCATTAAATATTTAGGAATTTACATTGACTCAAATCTAGGTTGGAAACCACAAGTAGAATATATTGCCAAAAAAATCAAACGCAGTATTGGTCTATTATCAAAACTTCGTTACTATGTGAATTCAAGGATTTTTAATAATTTGTATTATGCTTTAATTTACCCTTTCTTAATGTATGGTATAATAGCATGGGAAAATACCTATCAAACTACATTAAAACCTTTATATTTATTACAAAAGAAAGTTGTGCGTATTATTACATTTTCTTCATTTGATGAGCATTCAAGCCTATATTTAAACAATTAAATTTCATTAAAATCTTTGATCTTGTAATTTTCAAAATATCAACTTTCATGTACAAATTTAATAACAAGTTATTACCCTGTACCTTTGAATCATTTTTTACTATTATTGATAAGGTGCATGGATATAACACAAGAGCAGCAACAAAAAAGTCTTTTTATTTACCCAAGGCTAGAACTAATTATGGAATATTTAACATACGATTTCAAGGACCTAAAATCTGGAATTCTATTGATGAATCATTTAAGAAATTGTCTCTTTATCAATTTAAGAAAAAGCTGAAAATTGATTTAATTTCTAAATATTAAGATCAAGTTTTAATGCTTTTACAAATTAACTTAAATATACTGTAAAGACTGATGATGCTCCTGTGTGCTGGGTGTGTATTTGCATAGTTTTTATGTCTTTTTTGTCACTTTTTCAATCATATTGACTTTTTTGCCTATGTGTTTATACGGTGTGTTATTATTATGTTATTATTGTTATTATTAGTGTGTTATTATTATGTTATTATTGTGCTCATTATTATAATTGTAAATAGCAGAAATCCCGACCCTAAATGTAATGACTTTTAATTAAGAATATGTAAACCGACTTCCAAGAATTTTTAGCTTTTTAGTTATTTTTGGAAGTTGGTACCCCTCAATCTGTTCAACATAAAATAATGTATCAAATTAGAACAAAAAAATGTAATAATGGGTACAAATAAAGTTCTTCTTCTTCTTAACGTAGTTTTGCTTTATAATCAAGCGGGATTCCTGTGTTGTGTACACGGACGTACGGACGAAAGTGACGTAGTAGTCAAGCCATCTAAAATCAAGTCGAAATCAAAAAACGTTTTTTCAACTCAAGCTGGCACGACAAAATTAAAAATGATTAAAAAAAAACGGCAAATTTCTTTCAATTTGAAGTATATCAGAGTTCAATTACCTCATGTAGCTTGAAAACGTTCATCGCTATCTTCTTTAAATGGTATATAGTGTGGGGGTTTTATTTACGCAAGACTGGATTGACAGATTAGGATCAAAAGTTTGTTAAATAGCCGAATTCGTTTCTCTAAAACTGCTCGACAGTTAGCTTGCAAGGTGACTTGCTTTTTGCTGAACGAGTAGAATTTTTTCAACACTATAGTTAGCTCTTTCTCTCTATATATATTTCTGCCGTTTTGATTTTATTTTATTGCGAAAACCCGTTTTTTAAACTACGGGTAATAAACAAAAACATTCAAACTCATTCCATACCTTAACTTTTGGGCGAAAACTAATATATATTTAGGCACTGCCTAAAAGCGGAGCTTCCGATACGGAAGTCACAGGGAACCCAATTTGAATGAAAGATTAACAGGAAGTAACCTAAAAAACTGGTTGCCTCAGTTGCAATGCCTTGACCTTAAAAATATTGGTAATAATAGCCAATATACTTTGGCTGTTATAATCCCAAGTAATTTTTTTTATAATAACAAAATGGTGGTTGTAACCTAAAGTAAATCGTTCATAACAACCAATATTTCAACCATTTTAAAACTGGTTGTCTCAGTTGCATAAATTTAACCAATGTTTTTTGGTTGTTTCAACCAGGCAGTTTTATAATGTAGTGACTGTAGTTAGCGTTAAAAACGTGCAGATATTCCAAATGTATGGTCGCTTATTGAAAGAAGTATGATGATGATGATGATGATGATGATGATGATGATGAAGTATGATGTTGATATGATGATGACGATGATGATGATGATGATGAGATGATAATGGTGGTGGTGGTGGCGGCGGTGATGGTGATGGTGATGGTGGTGGTGATGGTGATGGTGGTGATGGCGATGATAATGATGATGATGATGGCGATGATGATAGATGTAATGCTACATACCTTCACTACCATCGTCATAATAAGACAAAAGTGCAGCAGAAAACATGAAAACACCAGCCATCCACAGCCCGAAAAYAACCGTCTTCTTTCGCCCAAACCTAAAACATCAAACCAAAAAAGTGCATCTACTGTTTAATGTAATACGTCATTTTGCTTATATGGTGATGGTTGAAAATTAACAACAATATTTGAGTCTTTGTGGTACAAACATCAAAATGATAGGCTCCAGCCGTAAGAGTTTTATAACACAACTCAAAAGAGTGCGTTTCATTGCTTGGCCGACATAATTCCATGGCTTTAAGCGAAATCCTTCACACGTACAATAACATACCATTCTTGAATTCATTGAGCGACAGTGTTTCCAGATCGAATTTGGTATGGGTGTGTCAAAAACGTTTTTGCATTTTGTCCAGTATAATCTTTACTTGGAGTGTTACTCAAGTGAATACTTTAGTTTCGAGTTCTTTGTTTCTCAGAGTTAGACTCATGTGTTCCAGTGACGGTCAGTGGAATTTCATTTTTTGTATTGTGGAACTCGTACATTCTTTACTTTACTGTTGCTATTTTTTAATCTTTAGACACTGATATGAGGCTAAGCCTGAGTAATTGATTCTGTAATCAAGGAATACCAGTGGTACTTTGGAACTCGAAAATGGTCTATTCGGAGAGTATTGTAAGCACCATGCTACATGCTCTTAGAAAAAAAATGGGTTGGACTTGGCCATGGGTTCTACTTACCTATTTAATGCAGGTATTCCCACTATTATCGCAAGTGCTTCACACACAGCTTGCAGAAAAAAGTTCAAGTACATGTTGCCACCAACAGTTGGTGCACTCAGTGTAATGCCATAAAATACTAAACCATTGACAAACCTTGAAAATGGAAAACAATTGGTTAATGGATTGTGCATGGTTATGGAGRAAAAAAAAACAATCGTAGCACGGGGCGCAGTTCTCAATCTGTAAGAGATCATGATAAGTCTCCGGCGATTATGGAACAGATCTCTTAAGCTCTTTAACTTTAACTAGTCGACTGTGGACTTCACTATGTGTACTTACCAGCAATACCAAGAAAATAAAATTATGTGCGCCTTTGAACGAGATGCAAACAGATCCCTTATATCTCCAAGTCTCTCTTTCTCACCAAGATTCCCTCTGTCCTCGTTCACTGCAAGTAGGGTCATGTCATCATCCAAGAGGACTTTTTTGTTGACTCGTGCAGCAGTTTTCAATGTCTTCTTGGCCTCATCAATCCTGCCTTTCACCAAGAACCAACGAAGAGATTCCGGAGTATACCTTTTGTATAGAAATGGTTTTCAACATTGCATATTTGAAACAAATTATATGATATTCAGAATTTTGTCGCATCCACGAAAGTTTTGAGAAGTGTCTATTGAGATCCAGTTTTAATATACCTTTGCGAGCCGAGTTTGCTTGGCTCCAACCAGGCTCCAAGCCTAGGCTGCGGCACTTGATGTTCTTGATGTTAACATACATTTTAATGTATTTTATGCGACATTAATTCTTTCGTGGTCACTCAGTAGAAATCGGGAAAGGCCTATTGAACAAGATTTTTTCACTTACCACCAAAACAGAATAAACAACATCCCGGGAGCACTTGCGATAATAGTAAGAAGACGCCAACTTTGTAAAAGGTATCCTAGCAACGCTAACACACACAAGGAAATCTCCCATGACGTCCAATACGCCGTTCCAACCATGCTGCGATGTCGAGCGCCGACATWTTCCATTACCAGAGTAAAAGAGCTAGGTATAATCCCTGCAAATAATGAAATATCTAGAAATTATAATTACTTCATTGAATTAAGTGCGCGCGCACAATATCTATCATGAGACTTTTGACGCAAAACAAGCAAATAAAAATATTTCAATCACTTTCCATCGTGATTTTAGTTTATTATATGCATACTGAGGCATTCATGTGAATCCCGGTAGCAGAAGTTTGATACTTCTCCAAGCCAGCATATCTTTCTATGTTTGTTGAGAGGCGAGGCGCGTAGGCCAACGTGAACGGTGTTGTTGAAATAGGGACTTGCTCAGCAACTTTAATTTGGGCAACTTGTCCAAATACGAGGCTTTCGAGCAACTTTTGTTCTTTTTTCAACTTTTACACGAGTTCAAACCAATTAACAGGCCCTTTTTTTTTTTCCCAGCTCCAATAATTCAAATACTGTTTGACAATAGGCCAAATGCAAAACTTGCACCAATGTGAGACTTAAGTTGTGAAAGAACTTTTCTAATCACGCCAGATTGCTTTGAATCACGTCAGACCCCTTTGTTCACAACTTAAGCCTCACATCGGTGCGAGTTTTGCATTTGGTCTATAGGCCGTACAGTGTTTGACTACACGTTTGTGAAGCAGTGGTCTCTTCCGGTGGTAATTTGTAATACGATTCAGGTGGTCAGCGGTCGTAAAATGAACACAAAATGGCGGACAAAGATGATGAACCGCGAAAGAAATTGGCGACAAATGCCTAGAAAATATATCTAGTATTTGATTTTTTTGAGCAATGTTTTGGGAAATTATGAGCAACTTTTTGGACTTCTTGAAGCAACTTGTGGGCAGCCCTATGTTGAACCACACCGCATTTAAAACCGACTAGGGCGTGGAAACTCCTTCGTAAAGTCCAAAGAAAATTTCGGGTTCAACGCAGGCTAATTTACGAGATATGGCTTTCCATTGAGTATGTCTCAATGTGTATATAATAGCTGAAAAACATGTATGCTATAGTGTCACAAAGTTGACACTGGATTCTTAAGAACATATCTAATCTTGCCTTTATCCTTAGCTTACAAGCTTACAATCGTACAAAAGACAACAAATTGATCAATCACATCAAGTGAAGGTCACATCACTTGCCCTTTTATGGGCCGTTTTCACGCGGTAGCCATGTTGGTTTGAGTACACAAAATCGTCCACCTAGCCTATCAGCCTAGTATGACGTCTGTTTTGCCTTATAGGCTACACAATGGAATATTGTCTAGTGAGGAGCGTTTTTTAAATAGATTTGCCTCTTTATCCTACTTGTTCTTACCCATTCCTAATCCCACAAGGCATCTGAAGAGTGCAAATACCCAATACGTTTGAGCAAACGCCGACAACAGCCCACAAGTGCAAAGGAAGAAATAAGTGAAAAATACCATATTTTTCCTTCCGTACTTGTCCCCAAGAATGCTGGTTGCCAATACACCGACGATTCCGAACAGAAACGTAAGGGAATTAACCAAGCTGGCTTGTTCTCCTCTTTCACAAACCAAATCCCACTAAAGAGAGTGAAAAACATAAATATATGTACTAAGGGAGAAAATGGTATTTCATATATCGAATAATCTTGTCCAGGTGGTCGTGACAACTAATGGTTTTTAGCCCTAAAAGGCACCACTTATTTCAAAGCATAATCTAGGGGACAAAAATCAGATGATGAACCGAAAAGAAATAGCGATGATGATTAACTACTATTCTGGCTGTCATTGAGTTGCAAAGCCACACCGAAAAAATGATAGCAAAGTGAATGACACGTGGTCTGAAACGGAAAAAACATTATGCCAACATAAGATGGCCATTTTCGCTTGACGCAGTTCACTTTTTAAGGCTGGTTAAAAGCAAAAGCAAAATACAAGAAAACGACTTACAGTATCACTAACGACGTACCTCTGTGACAATGGAATCAAAATTTCCCTCCACAGCGAATTCCCAGTCTTTACGTGGAATACTGCAACGATGTTCATAGTCTTTATCGCCAGCTTTAAAGGTTCCATTTAAGGTGCATGAAGTAGAGTTTGCTTTACACTTCCACGGAGGTTCAGCTGTACTGAATGTCATCACCAGGAACACCATCACAAAGAAAAATATTGCATAGTTCATGATACCAAATAATCGTAGCTGATATAGTCCAAAACTTCCAATTTTGTCGAGAATGTGTTCTTTTGGTTCGTCCACAGCCATTTTCATAGCTCTAGTGAAGACTAATAAAATTAAAAGGTTTTCGTAAGTCCACCTAGCATTAATACAATAGTACGAATATTCACTATAGAGTACAAATACTATGAGGGTGTAGCATAAATACCACTAAATACTGCTAAATTATGCTAATCCTATTGTTTTCTATTGTTTAATTAGCACTATTTACTACTAAATAGTGCAAAGTGTTGACACTTTTAGTGTTTGTACTCTACTATCCTACGACCCAATATAACTTTACCATAATAATATATTATGCATATAAGTCATCATCGCATGACATGTTGAGATAGCCGTACGAAAATCACCGATAACTATGGAACAGGCCAGAGTTTTCTTATGACAGCCATGCCCAATTTTGTATGATTGTCACACCCATTTTTATTGATTGATTCCAAACATTCCACTTGTATTTTAACTGTAGCCATAGATATAAATTATTCTTGGATGGAAGTACCGGCGAACGGCAGCGCTAACTGGAACGCTAACTGGAAACTAACTTCGTTCGACGGGAGAGGGGGGGGGGGGGAGGGAACAGTTTTTTTCAATCTTTGGTTTTGCTAAGCACGATTAGGCTTCCCAATAAAGATGTTAACAAACGAATAAGCGTTTGCCATTACATGTGGTCTTTTAGTATGTGACATTTTGGCTCCTTCTTTACTACCACATACACGTGGAATGTTTAGGACAAATAAGGAATGCTCTTTTACAGTTTTTGCAAAGAAAGTAAATTTGTATGCTGGCGTTCTGGATGCAATGAACGTGCAATCCGACACTATCACTGTTAAACATACTCAGGAACGGTTGTAGGGCAGGCTTTGCTATTTTATTCATCATGACAAGTCTTTCACTGATGAGGCGCTGTATCAATGGCTTTCGAAAAGTACTACTTTGYCCATTTTAATCAGAAAGGCCGTCATAACTTTATTATTTTATACCTTTTGAATTTTAAGACATGCCTGAAGACTCATGTGTAGCGGCTGGCCGCTGAGTTCGAGGGGTTCCATACACGGGGTTAGATTACTGCTAGTACAAACAATCGATAGATCTTTATACGACGAGGATTTATTGCTTATACTTGGCGTAAACTGGAACACAATTAGTTACAATCACGAGTTACTATCGAAAACTAAAAAATCAACATGATTCCACAATAATTAAATCCAATTCCGATGTGCTACTCTATTTAGCGTAAAACAATGATGTACTTATGTAACAATCAAATGTACTTAAATCATGATGCGACGTTTTCGGGCTTATAAGGTTACTATTCGAACAAAGACGTAAATATTCTAATGTTTCTCAGATTAATTAATAAAGGAATCAGGTATACTCACATAACTGTCCCGTACTACTGCCGAGAGGCGTTCGATTAATGTATTAGGATACGAAAAATGACGATTTGCTCGAAACAAGTTATGACGCTTTTTACTCTAAACAACACTCCAAAAGCAATCGTCAAACTTTGATCAAAAATAGCGAGAGATATAAAACAGATATCAAAAATCTGGAACACCCTTTTTGAGTTTATTATCTCCTGAGTATGTAAAGAGATTTCCCGCAAACATAGCTTAAAATGTACGTGTCTGTTAACGTTTTTACTGAGGCATGGTCAAATTTCGCTTCGAGGACAATAACGTAAACAACAATTTGAAAAATCGTATTTTGAAGATTTCTTCATAAGCTATGTTTATTCAGCTTTCAGAAAATGTATACTTTGTTTGTGTTATACTATAAAACAAGCGCGCTATTTCAGTTTGCGCGCATAGTGTGGTCGTAAACGTATTCTAATACCTTAAGGTGAGAATATGTGGACCGCGTAGCACTTATGAAATACAACAAGATATAGAAATATAGATAAATTATAGTGCTTGGGAACGAGGTTATTCCGGGCGAAAGCCCTTGGAATTAAATTCGGAAAAATTAATTTCCGACCTCGCTGGGAATCGAACCCACGACCTTCGGAATTGTACTACTGATGCTCTACAAGCTGAGCTAGAGGTCAGATTGAAAGCAGGCCGGGGTGAAATATACCTTAAGCTATGATTTGAGCTGTTGATTTGATCGACGATATTGTAGGTTGTTTTGTAATTTGAAATTTGATATATGATTCGAGGTTTTTAAATAGTCACTAATGGATCATTCTAATTATCACAGGGATCCCATACAATCATTTACATCATGCCTAAATGGATTTTTAATTCCCGCTTCTAATATAATTTTTTTAATATTAGACACATGCAAATGAAACCGTAACTTTATCTTATAACCTATATTAGAAAATTCATAAATAAATATTCATTAGCGTAGCAATGCAATCATGGCAATGGATAAGAACACGTGACAGCGTTTTTATGTATCGATTTAAAAACAAAAACAAAAAACAAGAAAATTAAAGTCAGGGGCGGCTTTGATTTTTTTCAGGGGAGATCGGGGCTGACAAAATCCCTGATGAATAAAGATTAGTGTGTTATGGGATTTGAAAATACTGATGAATTACTAGAGTCAAACATTACTGAATAGTTTTAAATCTCATAAAACACTAATCTTTTATTCATTAGAGATCCGACCTTCCCTTAAAAAAAAAAAAAACTAAAAAAAAAATTCAACACGAAATGAATGGAAATTTAACTCAGCCAAAAGTTTAAGGAGTCCGCATTGATCTCCTCTAGACTTTTACCTAGAGCTTGAAAGGACTCTTTGCCCGGGAATTTCAAACTTGAATGATCTTGTTTAGTAGCAATGATACGTATTTTAATTTTACGGGAACTGAGCAATTTTCGAAAATGAATTATAGCCCACTTTGTAGCATAAAGGCCTGATGAATTCTACTTTAAGGTTCCTTGAATCTACTCATCTTGGCGATTACTGAGCCAAATGCCAATTTACTTTGCAATACGTATTGTTTATAAAACGAGAGATCGTTTTTTATCGGCATATAAAAATACGAGCCGATAGGCGAGTATCGTTATAGTCGATAAAACATGGGCTCGAGTTTTATAAACGGCTTAGAAGACGCATACTTATTTTTAATATTTAATCTGAATAARCCATTTGCTAGAGAACTTCGTCAATTTAGACCAAAAAATGATATTTCGTAGGCATAACATTGTGCAAGTTACAGTTTAGTTATTCTCAAGAGACATGCGAATTTGGCGATCCATTAAGGTATCAGAGTACCCCTAGCGACCAGTGTGCATTCAACTCTTTAAAACCTTTTAATCGAAACCTCAACAAAGTATACATTTTCTGAAAGCTGAATAAATGTAGAAGCTATTCCTTTTTTAGTTTTTGTAAAATAAATTTATCCTTTTAAGTTAGAGCGAATTATTCAAATTTTCACCTTGGCATCTTCGCGTAGTTCGATGACAGCCGTTAATGATCGGAAACCAATGCTTATTACCTTTCCAAGAACGCAAGACATCACTTGTCAAAAGTGTGTCTCCTATCTTTGGTTAGTTGCCCCGTTGCTTTTTTATACGCTCCTAAAGTTATGACGCTGCTATATCAGATGTATCCGAGCCAAAATCCACGATAACTTTGGAAATAAGCAAAAAATCAAAAATCGGAGAAAATCTTTTGAAGAGCAACATCCAATATGACTTTCTCAAAATTTCAGTTAAATCGGTCAAATTTTCTTTGACAGTGAACTCAAAATGTAAGGGTAACTGCAGAACGCAAAATCACTTCAGAGAAAAAAACAAAATTGCTTTTCAAGCGAAGAAGTGCCTTTCTTGACATAAGGAGACACAAATCCGTAGGGAGTTACTTTGTATTTGAAAAATTCTTAATCTATACAGCTGTTTTACGGGTATCGCCTATCGGCTCGTATCTTTATGTAATATTTATTAAAGCCACTAATAACATGAGAAAAACACAACAGAAATCACGACCCTGAAGAGTCTTGYAAATCAGATACAGAATCCTGTTCATTTGCATAAACTTTAAGATGGATTTTCTTGGTCAGATTCACTTTTATCTTAAAAATTTTAGCGAAACACAAAGGAACTAACCTAGACGTTTGATAAGTAATCTACAGTATGAGTGGCCATGTTGTATCCAATATACAAACTAGTACTCGAGGCGTAGCCGACATATCGTATACAACACAGACACGAATATTGATATTGCTTAACAAATGTCTAGGTTAGTTCGTTTGCGTTTCACTAAAATTTCAAGATAAAAGTGATTCTGCCCAAGAAAATCCAAATTTAATTTTATACAAATGAACATGATTCTGTATCAGAATTATAAAACTCTTCACAGTTATGATTTCTATTGTGTTTTTCTCGTGCATGAATTATTATGATGAGTTTGTTAAATGTCGATAAAACACGATCTCTCGTTTTATAAACAACACTTGATCTACAGCTGTTTCACGTTCAGGACCATAGCCACAAATTTCTGATTGGTCCGGTTTTCGAGGGTTTTCAGTTTTTCTTATATTTTTTTATTATTTTTCTTATATATATATTTTTTATTTTTCTTATATTTTTTCCCCAAAAGTTGGTCCGGTTGAAACCGGACTAACCGTACCGGTGTCTACGGCCCTGACGTTTTTTTACGGGTTATTAAAGCCTCTCTTAGAAATTTCTTGTTATCATATATCCTGTTATATAGTATTAATTATTATCAATATTTCATTCATCAAAGCCAATATTTATTCAGGAATCATATCCAA